TCAGGAACTGTTCTCCGTTCCTCCCTCAGAACCTCCTCCGGAGACAGCGGTTCCTACGTCTGTGTGGCCACCAACAGCTTCAACAACACGTCCGTCTACACCACCAACAGCTCCACAGTCTTCATCACAGTCAAAGGTTCGCTGGAAAAAGTGGTTCCTTTCAGTTTTTTTTAAGATGTCAAACATCAGAGTAAATCCCCTTTACTTCCTGTTCTCCTCAGATTTGGTGTCAAACCCTGAAATCTCCTACAAAGTCCAGAAAGAGCCTTCGGAGAACGATAGTTTCAGCAATTATTCTGCGTTAGTCACCTGCCGGTCAGCCAGGGGATCTTTGCCCGTCGTCATGCAGCTTTTTAACGGCTCACAGGTGATCGGGAACGGGACCGGAGGGAGGAGCGCCACCTTCAGGCTCCCGCTGGTCCTGGACCGGCCCTCCGGATCCCTCCGTTGCCGGGGGGACAACGGGGGCGGGGAGGCCTACAGTCCCTGGATGCTTCTGGAAGTCGGTGTGTAAAAGCCCCACTATAACAGTTTTAAAAAAATATATATTTATTTTTTATTTATTTCTTTATTTCTTATTTTTATTTATTTATTTATTTATTTATTTATTTATTTATTTATTTATTTTTATTTATTTAATTTTATTTATTTATTTTTTATTTATTTATTTATTCACTTATTTATTTATTAACCCTTTGTTGTGTTCAGCATTATGGCAACAGAATTTTAATCTTAAACTTTTGCTTTGCCAATGGAGGCCTGTCAGGGTGAGAAGCCTCCCATGATCATCCAATAGTGCTTTATTATTTATTCAAGATTTATTTTTGTCACAGAAGTAAGATGGTTAATGCCAAACCTGACAGGGGGATGGGAAAAGAGATAAAAAGAAAGAAAAAAAAGAGGGACATTTTAAAAAAAAATTATATTCAATCTAAAAAAGGAAAAGAGAATAGAGAAAAGGTAACAATAACCCGCACCGAAAAGAAGATAGATCCTTAAAACAGGAAGAGAGACAACAAAACCGTCCATTAAGCTGCTGTATCTATAGAAAAATGTCCTGGAGTCAGCATGGAGGAACCCGAGGGAGAACCTGCAAACAAACACTACGAGGAGACACACAAACTAACAAAAACAAACAGCAAAAAACACTGTGGGCAAACTGGATGGAGAACCTGGAAGAGACACACACAAACAATAACTATAAACTTCAGAAGATCGGGGGTTCAACCCAGAGATTTGATAAGGTCTGGCAGCCATTTCTAGATTATTTTAACTTACAATTCGCTGATGGAAACACTGGGACATCATTGATTCACAGGCTCTGTAACTCTGTAACTTGTCAGTTTTTTAAATTTTTTATTTATTTACTTATTTATTTGTTTATTTATTTGTGTTTTTGTGTATGTCTGTGTGTATGTGTGTGTGTGTGTGTGTGTTATTGTCACTTATAATTCTTTATATTAGGGTTGCTGTTTGGGGACTTCTTCATTATTTTATAAGTCCAAAACCCTAAAATATCTGAATAATAAAACCATAACTATAACAGTTAGCTTCAGTGTTTTTTTTCCTCCATATTCTCTCCTCTTTCCTCTCCTCCAGTCCGGGTGGGGGGGCCGGTGACGGTGCGTGTGGAGTACGACGTGGCGGAAGACTTCTCGGTGGTCGGTTTGAGGCTTTTCTGCAGCGCCGGGAGGGGGTCGCACCCCCGGTTCCGGTGGTTCCTGAACCGGACCGCTCTACCGGGCCGGGGCAGCTTCCACCACGTGTTCCAGGGCCCGGATCGGTCCATCCTGCTGCTGTCCGTGGGGGGGGG